GGCCCTGGAGATACCCAGGATCAACACACATGAGGCCCCTGCCCACCTCATGGACTAGTGAGAGCAACAGTGATTCCAGTAAACCCCCTCAAGGAAAGAATTACAGAAGGTGCTAAGAGAAACCAGAGGAATGCCAAGAAGTTGGGGTGAGGGGAACCAAGTCTGTGGGGCGGTGCGGGGAGAGGTCACGTTTAAGCTGATGAAGATCAGAGGGACTGGCGAAGTGGAGGAGAGCAGGAAAAGGCATTGCAGGCAGAGGGAACTGCGTGGGCAAAGGCCCTGTGGTAGGAAAGGGCTCAGTGTCCATGGGAGAGACAGCAGGGAGGGGAGGGAGGGCGAGGGCTGGGCCACACAGGCCTGGGAGCAGCAGTGGGGGGTTTGCACTTGATCCTGGAGGGAAGGAGAAGCCACTGAAGGGTCAGGAGAAAAGGGACGTGACCAATCCTCATTTCAGAAGAACCTTCTGGGAGCCCAGGGCCAAGCACAGGGCCTGGCATACAGTTGGTGCTCAACAAATGCTTGCTGACAATGACACTGCAGGAAGGAAGTGGGGACACTTAATGTAGGGCGACACTGACCGGCCCTGCATGATACACCTGCACTAACACCCAGCCAGCGGGGCTGTCCCCTCAAGGACAGTGAGGAGCTGGTGTTTCTGGAGCAGCTGCCACCTGCCTGGCACTGAGTGCAAGCTTCTTACACGACAGCTGAAATGTCCTCAATGATGACCCCAGGAGGAAGAGGCACAGATGTCCCTAGTGAGGACCAGGAGGAAAAGCAAAGATGTTCCCGGTGAGGGCCAGGGGCAGGGGGCACAGCCGCCCCCAGGGAGAACCAGAAGAAATGAGGACCCCCAGGAGAAGGGGCACAGACGTCCCCAGGGAGGACCAGGAGGAGGTAAAGATGTCTCCAGTGAGGAGGAGGAAGAGGGGGCAGAGACATTCCCAGGAGGACCCCAGGAAGAGGGTGCACAGATGTCCCCAGTGAGGGGCAGGAGGAGGGGACCCAGAAGTCCTTAAAGAGGAACTGGTGCTGTTTTCCCAGTGAAACGGGCCCAAGGTGAAATGCTCTAACCAGACACTAGTTCATATGAAACAGATTCTCATTACAAAGCGCATCAAGAAATATTTCAATCTGGGAATCGATGGGAGCTCATGGAAAGAATTACTTGCAGAATAATGAGGAAGGACAAGTCAATAGTACTGAGTAAACGGCAGAGGAGGAACGTCCCAATGCCTCCCCTGCCTTAGCCTGCTCGGGCTGCCGTAACAACACCCCACAGACTGGGAGGCTTAAGCAACAGAAATTGATGTCTCAAAGTTCTGGAGGCTCAAAGTCCAAGATCAGGGTGCCAGCCCGGTGGGGTGCTGGTGAAAGCTCTCCTTAGGGTGCAGATGGAGGCTTCTCACTGTGTCCTCATAGGAGAGAGAGAGAGTGAGAGCAGGAGAGAGAGAGTGGGAGCGAGAGAGAGAGAGTGTGTGAGAGCAAGAGAGAGAGAGAGAGAGCACTCCAGTGTCTCTTCTTACCAGAGCATGAATCCCATCAAAGAGGCTCCACTCTCCTGACTTCATCTAACCCCAACCACCTCCCAAAGCCCCCCTCCAAATATCATTGTGTGAGGGGTTAGGGCTTCCACATCTGAATGTGGAGGGCGAGGGGACACAAACATTTAAGTCGCAACATGACCCACGCACAGCCTCTAAGTCATCTAGTTGACAAAACAATGACATTGAAATATGAGGAAACACGCAGCTTCCTAACGAGAGAGACAGAAGTCAGCTCAAGTGATAATGAATGCTACCTGGGAAACATCAGAACCTGTGGCCTGTCTGGCCATAATTTCTAGCCATATATGTGACTCCTGAGGACCCCATCAGTGTCCCCAGGAGAGAACCCC